CATCAAGCACATTGAAGTCAAGAAGAAGGTTAGTAGTGAATACATCATGAGAGTGAAGAAATTCTTTAAATCCAAAGTCAGTGGAGGAAATACCATCAAGGCTATTAATACCTGGGCACTTCCAGTCATTGGATATACAGCTGGAATAGTGGACTGGACTCAAGCTGAACTAAAACCCCTGGATAGGAAAACCGGAAAAATAATGATAATGAATCACGCCCTTCATTCGTGCAGTGAAGTTGGCAGATTGTACTTACCAATGAGCATAGGTGGTCGTACAATGTTGCAAGTACACCAGACAGTTGAAGAAGAAAAAAGGGCATTGGAAGAATATTTGAAGAGCAGTGAAGATGCACTGAAGCTAATACACCATGAAGGCTTACTGAATATTGGAGAGACCAAACTGGCCTACAAGACCAAATGAAGAATAGAAAAGAGACATGGCAAGACAAAGTATTGCATGACCAGTACACAAAATACTACAGGCAAAGCAGATAACAAGACCTGGCAATGGCTAAGAGCAGGAAAGTTAAAGAAAGAGACAGAGGGGCTAATTCTGGCTGCACAAGACCAAGCCTTAAGAACAAATGCACACAGATCCAGAATTGAAAAGCAGATAACAAGACCTGGCAATGGCTAAGAGCAGGAAAGTTAAAGAAAGAGACAGAGGGGCTAATTCTGGCTGCACAAGACCAAGCCTTAAGAACAAATGCACACAGATCCAGAATTGAAAAGATAGCAGCAGACGGCAAATGCCGCCTCTGCAAAGTAGCTGAAGAAACAGCGGACCACCTAGCTAGCTGCTACAAGAAGATCGTACAGTCTGACGACAAACAACGGCATGACAAAGTAGCAACAAGGGTGCCTTGGAATATGTGCAAGAAATACCATTTTCCTGCAAGCAAGAACTGGTGGGATTACAAAACAGACAAATAGAAAATGAAGAAGCTAAAGTGCTCTGGGACTTTAAAATTCAAACAGACAAGCACCTGCCACATAACTCCCCAGACTTAAAAATCATTGTTAAGAAAGACAAAAAAGTCTGGATAAGTGGACATTGCAATATCTGGAGACAGCAGAACAGAAGAGAAAGAACAGGAGAAAATCACAAGATACGAAGACCTGCAAATAAAAGTAGAATGTGGCAAAAGAAAGCAAAGATAGTACTAATAGTAACAGGCATCTTGGGTGCAATCCCAAAACATCTGGAGCACCACCTGAACACTATCGGCATTGACAAAATCACCATCAGTCAATTGCAAAAGGCAGCTTTATTTGGAACAGCTTACATCCTGTGATGATACCTTTAATACAACAACATTTGCCTATCCCAGGTCCTTGGGAAGGACTTGATAGGTGGATAAAAATCAAAACATCTGGAGCACCACCTGAACACTATCGGCATTGACAAAATCACCATCAGTCAATTGCAAAAGGCAGCTTTATTTGGAACAGCTTACATCCTGTGATGATACCTTTAATACAACAACATTTGCCTATCCCAGGTCCTTGGGAAGGACTTGATAGGTGGATAAAAATGCCAAATCCAGTCTAAACATCTGGCTGACTGTGCGACCAACAATAATAATGATATACTTGATAGGTGGATAAAAATGCCAAATCCAGTCTAAACATCTGGCTGACTGTGCGACCAACAATAATAATGATATACTTGATAGGTGGATAAAAATGCCAAATCCAGTCTAAACATCTGGCTGACTGTGCGACCAACAATAATAATGATATGCTAGTGAAGAACATGCTAATGCTTATATGCTCAGTGATAACAACTGAGATACTGTACTGTGGTTTCTAATCACTAGGAAAATAATCAGTAATAAGTTAACAAGCTTCGCTGACATATCCTAGTAGTAATCAGAAAGACCATTTAGACCAGTTTTCCCTGGCTCCAGATTTATTACAAAGATAGGCAATAACTGATCTAATGGGTGATGTTAGGAGTCCCTTGCTGATCATACATTTATCTGTTCATTGCAGGCTGGCACAGTGCTGCAGAAGCTGAAAGGCAAGCCACTAAGCTTTCGCCTAATCAGGTGGAAATGGCATGATGGAGGGATGTACAAGCCATTGTTGCCCTACCTAAAAGTTCTCAGAGAAAAAATCCCCAGCTTCCAACTCCAACATGAGCACAGACCTAAAGAAGAGAATGAGGAGCGAAGTTTGCAAGGAGGCAGGTAGTGGCTGCTAGGGACAATTAATGGAAACAAAAGAGTGGCAGATTTTCACTGGTCCTACCTCATCACCACTGGTTGGGTGCATAGGTCATTCCCCAGAGGGAGCAAATCTAGCCCATTAATCCTTCAGCTGTTTCAGTTTGCAATCTCTAGCCTGAGAGGCAGTCCTAGGAGGGAGTCAGCCTCTTTCAAATGCCAGACAAAGGTTGGGGGATACATGCATTGGCATATATCTCCTGAAACAGAAGATCAACAGTTCTCACAAACCTCATTTCTAGTGGCTACAGAAAAGACAGAATTAGAGGTTGCCTGCAGTGAGTCAGCAGCAGATTGTAGATGGCACTAGGACAGTGCCGTAGGGGTCTCCAGGTTTAGAAGTAGGTTTTCCCGATGGGTGGTATGACTCATAGTTTGGCCAGTTGTTACAATAAATGCAGTAGATTTGGAGTAAAGGTGGAAAACAACCTTTAAGTGAGGTGGGCCACTTATAGTCAGGGTCTGATTTCTTTGCACTCTCATTTGTTATAGGCAGAACAAAGTAACGCGTTGTGGCGTTTGTAAGAGAACATACACAATTTCTTTGAGTGCAGAAAGAGAATCATGCATAATAATACACGTATTGGTCTCTTTGGCAACTGTACCAAGTGGGTGAGAAGTAACAGGGAACTCACAGAAACATTAGTGAACATTGGAGAAGAGCATTGCCACAATGATCAAACCAGCTTAGGAAATTCTATCTCTATTGTGTAAAACATTTTTTCCAGCCTGTTCTCATACAAGCTGCTTCCTTAGCACCCACAAGGCATTATGGAGATTCTCCTCCTCCTCCCCTCCTGGAAATACAAGATTCAGTGGAAAGGTAGTATTTTGCATTCTGGAATGTGAATGGCACATGCATGTGTAAATGGCTTATTCTCTACATAATACTGGATATCCCAGACTGGAAATAGATCAACTTCTTCTTCCATTCACCATTTGCATGTATTATTATAGAGAAAACTAATAATGCAAATTTGCATTTCTCAGTCATATGCGTAGCACACCATCTATGTTTTACTCAGCTACCTAGTATAAGTTTGCTCGTGATGATATAGCCCAGTTCTCTGGAAGTGTTGGGGATGCAGTTGTGAATCCTGGGATTTGCAGTTGGAATGCTAGACAAGAGCAGTATTTCTCTCACTGGCAGTATGCAAAACTAATTTAGGTGGAACACGTCTCCCTTCCTGAAATAGGGAAGGAGCCCATGAAAGCTAAGGAGGAGAGCAGAGCTGCCCATGTAGCTGCATGCATTGAGGCAAAAGACGAGATAATCTCAGCAGATCATTTCCTGGAGTTCAGAGGTTTGGGCTTAGAATTTAAAATAAATTCTTTGAACGACTTTGAACGACTTAATGTTCTCTTTCTCTCATTATTTGAATGTCTGTCTATGGTTTGGGCTTGGGAAAAGACTGCTCCCATAATAGCAGACACCATTCAATTTTTAATCATTTTTAGTAGTTATTATCAACTGCATTATTGCTGCTGTTGTTATTTAATAGTTATTATCAACTGTATTATTGCCATGTATATACTTTACCTTATATTGATTAGTATATACTAATATACTAATCAATATAACAGAATCCCTGTAAACATGTATACAGTATGCCCTTCTCAGAAAAACTGGACTTTTGGTTTCTGTCGTGGTGGGACTAAGACCGTTTGATTGCATGATTAGTGGGAAATGATAGAAAAGAGTGAGAACTGATTGAGAGGCTGGGGAAACAAGTATAGCTCTTCAGAATCATTCAGTCACAAACTTCTGTGAAGGCAAAGAACTTCAGTTTGCTTTTGGAACTTTCTCAGATACTGCATCTTGATATGAAAATGAAGAAGCTATATACAGATTTCTTGAACTAATTGTTTCATCCCATTTCTCTGTAGGCTCTTGTACAATCTACGGTACTTAGGCCAGGCCAATGTAGGAAAGGTGAGACTATGTTTCTAAAGAGAAAAGAGGGTTGCTCAGTTTTTAATATTACTTTTAGGTCTGAATTTTTCCTACATCTTTCTGATTCTCTTGGTTTCTTTTCCAGTATGGAGGCAAAGAGGTATTAGACCTAGGCATACCTATGGTGTTAGATAAACATTTACCACAACAGGTAAGATTCTTGCTGAGAATGTGGAATGTGTATCAAACTACTTTCTTTTTCTCTTAAATCTTTATTTTAAGTTATGCTTTTTAAATAAAGACGCAGATTGAAGGTTGACCACTACAGTCCATGAAGATAGTGATGTTGATGATTTAATTAATAAAGTCAATAGGAATTTGGATTATAGGGCTGTTTGAAATGAGAAAACATCATAGGTGATAAGTCTTACTTTTTAGGTAAACAGTGTACTGTGTAACAGATTCTGTAAAGAAAGATGCCTCCCTTCAGGTCTCTGGGTTAAAGGCAGAACAAGGCTGAACTTTTGTTTTTAGTAGGAAATGCTTTGAAAAATGTCATTAAATCATGTATTTTTTATTTTTTTATTCATCAAATTTATACACCGCCCATCTCACTATACAAGTGACTCTAGGCGGCTTACACATAAAAAATGATAAAAACAATAAAAAATATTTACAAATACACACATACACACACACCTACTGTACATACATGTATGAGAAGTAAATCATGTATCAGAATTTTCTATATTAGAAGTAGTAGAAGTCCACTCTTTATGGGACAGATGTAGACAAATACCGGTTTTGGAACACATTTACAGACTGAACACCTCAATGCACGTTTTTCTTTCATTTAGAAGTATTTCATTAAGGCATGAAAATAGGGAAGCTGATAGGGAAGCTGGTCCTACTGAGGCTCAGTTATGGATTTTATTCTGTTGCATGATGGTGAATTCAGCCCAATATGTTTAGCTACTCATCCTTATGCAGGCGAATTTCTCCTTGGTCATCCATACCTTTCAGATTGATTCCAAACTTCTTCATCTTCTGGAACAGATTTGTTAGAGTAAAGGGGAATCTATTTTTTCAATTGTTTCTATTCTATGGATAGATAGATGGCAAAAGCCCATCATTTTCTCCCATATATCCTTAAAAAGAATGAATGTTATAGTGGGTTAAGGTGACCCCCATACTTCATCCATTCTTGCCAGGCCTTCAGATTATATATATTCACATTAAGTATGTCAAATCATCATAACAATCATAAAATGATTGTTGCATACAATGACCAGTAATTGAATATGTTCATGTTAAGGTACTATAATAATGCCCATGAATAAAGACTGAATCTGTTAAACAGACACAGGATAAATGCATCCTGCTTCCAATGAGTGGAGGTGATGAAGCTCTCAGAAAAATGGGAAGGGGAATTTATTCAAATAATCACTCCAACTCTTTTTACAGTTACTCCTAAACTGTCTGAAAGTGATTTTGTGTTTTATTATGTGGATGAGTGTTGGCATTTAAATAAGGGCAGAGCTGAGATGTTGAAGGTATCACTAGCTTAGTGAACACGTATAAAGCTTCAGTCTATTCTGTCTATACAATTTGGCTATAGCCTATTTTTCTAAATGCCTGATCCTATCAGCAAATAAGCACTTGAAATAACTAAAACCACCATGGTCCAGTGCACTCTCACAATCCATGGGCAGTGTGCTAAGAACTAGATTGGTCTTTCTTAAACTAAGTTTCCTAGGGCACCAGTGTTCTGCAACCACCTTCAGAGGTATTGAAGTTCTGTTTTTTCCTCAACTCTAAGATTTCCTTTATCAAATCTCATATCTACAGTAGGCTTATACATTCAGTTAAAATGTATAATTGATGCTTTAAATAAAAGTAAAAGTAAGAAATATTAGAGGTGTTCATGAAATGGAAAATGTGTTCTGTTTCATGCATGGAACATACTGTGCCTGGGAAATTCAGCCAGACCATTCTAGGAGAATTATGGTTCAACCAATTCAAAACCTGGAAGATTTTGGTTGTCCCTGATTTCTGGCAAGAAAAAAAAATCCTGGGAAAAAAAGTCTTTATAATTTTTATTAAGAATTTTATAATAATAGTAAAATTGAATACAAACTAAATTTAAAGAAAGAAAAGAGAATAGAGAGAAGGAAAAAGGAAAAAAAGAGAAGAAAAAGTAAGAATATAATAAAGAGAAAAATATATAAAGAAGTGACTTCCAACCTTCATGACAATAAGTATAAAGAAATTTAGTAACTCTTCACCCTCTTTAAAACTACAAACATTTATCTGTTCATCCTATATCCCATCTCTTATCTATAAACAAATCCATAAAGCATCACCTGAGGGACCGTCTCACCCCCACTGTATCTACCCATCCCACCTGGTCAGGCAGGGAGGGTATGCTACAGACCCCGTCGATGAAAGAATGTCGACTGGCGGGGTCCAGAAAGAGAGCCTTCTCTG